ATTAATAGCCAACAGATAGAAACAATCTAAATGTGATTAACTTATGAATAGATAAACAATATCCAACGGTGGACTATAAAAAGAAATAAGTAAGTCCCCACACCTGCCTCAAAGTAAATTCACTTTGAAAATATATTAGAAAGAGGTCAGTCAACAACCCCCATCTTGTGTTCCATTTATATGAAAGATTGAAAATAAGAAATATAGGAAAATAGGAAATATAATGGAGAGACGTAAAGAGATGAGGGAAATAGGTATTGGATTTCTCTTACAGGTAATAAGAATGTTCAAACTTCACTGTGCCAATAGTCATATTTAGCCCACATCCTAAAAATCAATGTCTTTGGATTGAGAGATGACTTGGTGATTAAGAGCATTTGTTGCTCTTACAGAGGGACCAGGTTCAGTTCTCAGCACCAATGTGGTGGCTCACAACCATCTGTAACTCCAGTTCCAAGGATCTAATGCCAGGCACCAGGCATGCACATGGTACGTGTACATGCATGCAAAACAGTCACAAATAAAATAAAATAAATAAATCTAAAAATAAAATAAATCAATGTCTTGCTACTTTAAACATGTGGGTTGTATGGTATAAGAATTATGTCTCTATAAAGCTGCTGGAAAAATTCTTCTAGTGGTTCATTATAGTTCATAGCCTATAAATCCCAAATGCTCATCACTGGCTGGAAGACACTGACATGGTATAGTTACTTTCCACCCTCTCCGCAAGTCTCATCTTCCCCCAATGTTTCATTTAGATATAAAACCTTCATAGTGACTCCACTTAACACTGACTGTCTTTTCAATTGCCATAACTGGCTTAGAAAGTTTGTTCCCGAGGGGCTGGAGATAAGGGATTAAGAGCATGTGTTGCTTTTGTAGAAGACCCAGGTTCAATTCCCAGTACTCACATGGTGGTTCACAACCATCCATACCTTCAGTTCTAGGGTATCCAGCACCCTCTTCTGACTTACCTCAGCACCAGGCACACATATAGTACACAGATGCAGGTAAAACACTCATTCACTAAAATAAAGCAAATCTTTAAAGAAAAGTTCTTCCCCTAGCTGCTTCTCATCCTACAGACCTCAGTCTAAGCATCACACTCTCATGAGAGTCACATGGGTCCCCCAAAGGAGTTTCTCTTCTGTAACACACTGTTTATAACTCACGCTGCCTATTTATGATACAGGTTGAGCTTCTCCTAACCAAACTTCTGGGAATCAGAAGCATATCAGATTTTGTTGAATTTTTTTCAGATTTTGAGATATTTTCATAAACATAACAAGGTATTATGGATAAGATCCATATCTACACATAAGATTCATTTAAGTTTCATATGATGTAACCCCCACAACCTGTTCCTATATTCAAGACTTGGTCTCCAGCTAGTTGTGTGGGACAATTCTGTATTCTTTCAATTACGTTTTAAATAAACGCTGATTGGCCATAGCCAGGCAGGAAGTATAGGTGGGACAACCTGACAGAAAGTAGAGGTGTGGCAATGAGAACAGGAGTATTCTGTGAAGAAAGAAGCTCTTTTCCGCAGTACTGCCCAGACCATGGAAGAAGCAAGATGTAACCTATCCTGCTAAAAAAGGTACCAAGCCAAATGGCTAACATAGATAAGAATAATGGGTTAATACAGTTATAAGAGCTAATACGAAGCCTGAGTTAATGGGCCAATCAGTTTAAAACTTATGGAGATCTCTGTGTGATTTTCTTTGGGACTTGCCGGCTGTGGGAACTGGACAGGACAGAAACCCCAACAAAGCAGGCCCCTCATATTACAAGCTAGTAGGCCCAACAATTGAGCATTGACCAGATCACGACAGCTCACGGATTGGCATTTTACAACATTCAGAGGTGAGGCTTTATTGGTGGGATTGGTCATTGGAGCTGCCTGTCTTGTTCCAGACATGAGCAGCTTTGCTCATCCACACTTTAACAGTGATGTTCTGCTTCACCACAGGCTCAGAAACAGTAAACCAGCTGGCCTTGAACTTCATCTTTGAAGTCATGCACAAAATAAACCTTCCTCCTGTTAAAAAAATTCTCCCAGATGTTTGTCACAGTGTCCAAAATTATTTCATGCAAATTTTTTAAGTAATTTTGTATGTGAAGTCAGGTATGGTAGCATATGCCATCCTAGACTGAAGGAGGCTGAGGCAGGAGGGCTGACATAAGTTCAAGGCAAACCTGGGCTATATAGTAAATATTAGGCCTGCCAGAAGGACTTGGTCTCCAAGAAACAAATCAAAACCAATTTTGAGTATGTGTGGAATTTGGAATACTTTCTATTTTCAGATTAATGATGCTCAATTGTATATATCAAAGATATAATTATTGCTAGCACTTGCAATTTTTATCAGCACATATGTTTCCTGTAGGTTCATATCAGATTTGTCCAGTTCGCCTATGTACTACTTGGGCTTAATGCGATTCCTGATAAGAGCAGCTACCAAGATTGTGAAAAGAGTGAAAGTTAGTATAAAACAGTGACTAACAGCTCTTTACTAGTGCCACTCTACTTCCCTCATGCATTCATTACGTGTATGACTGTTCTGCCTGAATTATGTAAATGTGCAATGTATATGATAAGCCTGGTGCCTGTGGAAGTCAGAAGATGGCCACAGATCTCCTGGGACTGGAGTCACAATGATTGGAAGTTACCATGTGAATGCTAAGAATAGAACCTGCATCCTCTCTGAGAGCAACAAGAGCTGAGTGGCCTCTCCAGCCCCACTCCATGCCCTTCTTAAAGGCAGTAAAATGTACTCTTGATTCAGCATACTTACAGTTCACTAATGTCTCAGCTTAGTCCTTTTAATTCTTTTGTTTGGTTCTTTATTTGTTTTATGTAGACAGGGTCTCACTGTGTAACCAAGAGATCCACCTGCTTTTTGCTTCCTGAGTGCTGGGGTTAAAGGTGTGTACCACTCATTCCCAGTTAGTCCTTTGTTTTTATAGTTGCTGCTTCTCGAGGAGACGTATCCCGGCCACCCTGTTTATTAAACTACCAGGTGTTCCGTGCATACCTGACTGACAAAACAACTAAAGCAGAATCGAAATCCGTAGCAAACGCTGTCTTACCCATTGTAGGTTAGGACATTAACAGAGGCAGTGCCTCTAGGATTCTCTAATTGACACAGCCTGAAAACAAACATCTTGTTCCAGTTTTCTGAGGATCACCATCTTAACAAATTTAACTTGTTTTATTTCTCTCAGCTAAGAAACAGTTTGAGTGGGAGGTGTAGGTGTACGTATTTGTGTGAGTATGTACATGTTTACATGCAGCTGTGTGGGGGATGGTGTCTTCCTTAACTGCTTCTTCACTTTCACTGAACCAGGAGGTCATAGATTGACTACACGGCCAGTCAGGAGAGCTCCCAGACTGCGTACTTCTGTCTCCTCCAAGTAGAGGTCACAGATATGAGATGCCATGTCTGCTATTACTTGGCTGCTCCTGCTGAGAATGCATGTCCCCATACTTGAAAACACTTTATCAACTGAGTCATCTCTCCTGACCTAAGAAATACTTTAGAGAGTGACTTTTTGGCTAAAGAAAAGACTGCTCTTAAATTTAATTTCTCAGATGAAACTAATGGTACTTCTTTGTGCACTAGTAAAAATATACAATCATTACACGTTTAAGACTGACTTATTATTGTTTACTTGGCTAGAAGCCAATTAGTAGAGGATAACTGGGGGTTAGGGAAATTATTCCGCTCTTAAGACACTTACTGCTGCTCCTCCAGAGGACCTAAATTTGGGTCCCAGCACCTACATCAGGAGGTTCACAACCTCCTCTAACTCAAGCTCCAAGATATCTCATATCTTCATCTGGTTTCCAAAGGTACCAGCAACACACAACATGCGCACGCGCGCACACACACAATGCACTCATACATACACACAAATAAAAATGTCTCCTTAAAAAGGAAAGAGGACCACTACTGGCTCAGAAACCCCTTAGTCCAGAAAACTGATTTTCTTATAATTTTATGGAAAGAATAGGAAAATACTACTTTTCAATACACTTAACTTCCCTCTCCTTTCTCAAAATGTGTGCTTTAAGTTGTCTTCACAATAAGCAAATAACTAAAAAGTTTGGTACTGTATCTTTTAGACAGCATTTCTTGGTTTCACACAAACACATACACACTGAGAAATAGAAAAATATCTTTTTGGATACTGAAAATAAATCAAACTAAAAATCTAAATCTCAATAAAGGTTTGTCTCCTTTTCTAGTTCTAGAAAGTGATACCAAAAAAACTGACCAAAGCCTCAGTCTTTCATGCACACTGGATGTCACAGAGCTCAAGCTGGACACAACACTCAGCAGCACTGTCCACAATCTCTTAATTCTAACAAATACACAGTTCTGCTCCTCTTCAGGTCTGTCTCAGGTTGATCTAATCTGCTCTCTCAGAGTCTCTAAAACCACTGCAGTGTAGCAAAGCATTGTAGTGACCACCTGGACTCCTAGTCTCAGGCAGGCTAATGCAAAAAGATCAAAAGATCGAAGCCAGCCTGAGGAGCACAGCAAGCCTCAACTGCAGACGGCAGGTCTCAATCCCACATCACCATAAACGCTCATTTTCTTGCCGGGTAGTATTCCCACATGTATAAAACTATACACCCAGCTCTGTTTCTTTGATATTTTTTTTCACAGTATTACTCTGCTACACAGAGCGATCACAGAAAACTCAGAACAAAATGAAGGATCTTTCTTTCTCTGTGCTTCAAGCTCCACATCACAAAAGGCAAATATATTCCTGACAATTATCATAAAACAAATAGAAAAAGGTCTGACTACATACAGAACATAATACCAAATAGTCAGAAATAAGACCTCCACCACAAAAAAACCTTCCAATGTAAGATATGACAGTAAAATTAAGCTCTATTTGAGGCGTGAGTCAAGGACTTCATACCCACTTCTCTGTCTCTCATTTCGGAGCAGAGCCCTGCAAATGCATCAGGAACCTCATACCTCCTCTTCTCCCGGGCTTCCCCAGAGGAGTCTGTTCCAGTGGAGGAGAACACTGTGGCAGCAGGAACCCCATTGGCAGTGCTCGGTGCGGGGCGATTGGTGATCACACACAGAGGACTAGAAGAGACACCATCTGTTGTTTTCTCTGCTGTTGAGTCAGCCTGAGACTTGTAAGGAGTCCTGAAATTAAGAAAGACAGGAGCAAAAGGAAAATGGTCAGGCATGGTATCAACAAAACACTGGCACAGAAAAAGGAAAGGCATAGATCTAACGAGAATCTCCTTGCTCAGATTTTGTTTGTTGGTTTGTTAATTCTGAGCTCTTAAATATTGGAACAGTATGATTATACACTTAGTCTGACATCTTCTGACTTACATTTTATAAGATTATTTTTGCATGAGATTAAAAAACAAACAAACAAAAGTCAGTTGTGGCACAAGGCAAGATAGTGACATATGCAAGTGTCCTAAATGACGCATTGCCACCTGACCTCCCTCCACACATGCACAAAGAGACACATCTCACTACAGGTGAAAAAGACACCAAAATCACTTACGATATTAGTCTCCACCTGTCCCTCAATTCTTGGCAGGGGAAGACTTTGTGGCAATTCTCAACCTATATTTGATGATCATCTTCTTGAATTATCCATTTAATAATTATTCTATAACCTCAGTCTATTTGGTTCTCTCTCACCTAGTCCAGCAACTGCAGTCTTTTTTCCATTTAGGCAAGTGCTTAATTCTCTACATTCATAGCTGCCTAAGTAAGAAACTGAAACAGAAATCGAGCAGGATTCTATATGTAACCTTAACTACCGACTACAACAGCAAGCTGTTTAATTAAAGCCATTTATGTGAAAATAAGATCTTTGTTTCTTAACAAAGAGGAGCAACCACTGGCTCTCCACCCAAAAAGCTATCATTTGTGATGTCACAGCTTGTTGCTGGGGTAACAGAGATCCAAAATTGATACTTGCAGAGATGGAAAAAGCAATGAAAAGCATGAACGTTAAAAATCTGTTTTTCACCTACTCACAATTATTATCAGAAATGTTTACAAGTAGCTACCAGCAACCTTCCAAATATATTAGGATAAGTGTAAAAATAATAATCAAATCATAAAGTCTAAACACAGCATTAAGAAACACATAAAAATAACACTTTTGAAGATAAAAGCTATATCTAAAACATATAAGCTATTTCTCTAGATGCAATTAATACCTCAGATAAGGTGATAGTGTATATTCATTTTCTTATCTGAAAAGTTGGAGATAATTTCTCAGATTTATTAGTATACAGGAAATACTAATAAAATTAACCAGAAGCATAGTCATAAGAAATGTGGTGCCAACCTGGGAATAGTGTATGCACTTCTAACTCTCAACTACTAAGAAGTTGGAGAAGGAAAATTCCATGAACTCAAGATTTGAGACCAATCTGGGAAACAGACTCCATCTCCTCTCCAAAAAACAAAGAAACAAGCAACAGAAACAAAAAAAGCTGCAAGTAAGATTTTATACTTAACAAAAGCTTGCTGAAGTCTCTTCTTGGGTTAATAATATATTTTGACTTCTCTGCAATTTCTTTGTTTTTATTCATAGGTATGTATGTGTTCAATGCATAAGGGAAGAGGTCAAAGGTTAATCTGTGGCACTAACTCTCTCCTGCGTCCTTTATATGGGTTCTGGGGCTCCTGTGCTCCAAGTACCTTTACCTGCTGAGCCATCTTGCCAGCCTTGCAATTTCTTAGGCTGTTGAAATGCCACAGACTTTATTTTATTGTTAATAAAACTTTACTCTTACTTTGAAACATGTTATAACTTTATAAGTAGACTTTCAAGGGTAGCCAGAAAAGCTCTACAGCAGGGTCAGAAACTACACAATGGAACCACATGGTGCTAATAATCAACCAAACTTAAAGATCTGACCCTTCACCTCTAACACAGGGAAAATAATGCTGCATCATGCAGAATTCTCATGATGATAAACCAAAATAATGTCTGTACAACACCTAAATAGTACCCAATAAAATATAAACTCGGTGTAAACAAAACACGACAAAATAGGTAGGTTTTTTCACAAATTAATTTGGATATAAAACCCACTTCCATTCCTCAATGGCTTTGTGAGCTTGGGCATATGATTAAGCCTTTGGCTTGCTTTCCTCATCTAAAAATACATACAATGTTTAATACACCAGGGAGCTGCTTATGAAATAACATATGAGCAGTCAAGGCAGGCATTACCTGACTAGTAATCATTGTCCCTGACCTTCCTAACAGGTGCCCTATATATTTTTTTACATTTATTTATCTGTGGTCTGTGGGTGTGGGGTTTGTACATATGCAGATGTGTTCACAGAGGTCAGGAAACAGCGTTCAGGAGTTAGTTCTTTCCTTTGACCACGTGAGATTCAGGGATGGAATTAAATTGTCAGGTTTAAATGTTAGCTCCTTTACCCAAGGAGCCATCTTCCCAACCCTGTGTGCTCTTTATTTCCTGAGGCAACAATATACCAAAATTGACATCTTCCAAGGTCTGTCAGATGCTGAAAATACCCCATGAGACACAGATCTAGAGTTTCTGAAAAAAAAGTATTCATTTAAAGGTCTCTCTTTGCCTGCTTCCCCCTTGCCTACTACTTCAAATCCACAATGCAGCCCCCATAGCTAGAGCTCCAGAAGTTATTCCAGACTGGGAGGCAAACCTTGGAGAGAATCCATGGTATAAAGAAAAAGAACTGGATCTTTTAATGACTTTGAAGCTATTGTGCTCGCCTTGTTTCTGGACTTTCCTACAAGCAAAAGAAACCGTCTCATACTTAAAGCAGTATTACAGGGATTTATTGCTGCGTGTGAATAAACCAATCCCAGCCTATAAGCCTCTTCTGTACAGAAACTAGTCCATTTCCTGTCACAAGACAGGATTCAACAAAACAGTCTCCAGTTTCAGCTATGTGATTTCCTCAGTGCTGGGGGTTAAATCCAGGGCCTTAGGCATGTTAAGCAAGTGCTAAATGCTAAGTTAAGCTTTCATCCTCCTGTCTGGATTCTTCATCTTTAATGATAACATAAAGAATATCAATATAGCTGTATTATTATAGGAATCCAATTAATTTCTACACAACTATACAGTGATACTATTAGAGACATAAGTCTGAAATCTCTATATAATTATAACAGTATTAATGATAATTCATTATAAAATAGTTCTTTCTAACCAAATTAATGGAGACTATTTGTTTCAGGGAAAGAAATCTATTAAACTGGCAAACATCAATCAAACACCATCATAATAGATATTCTGGTAACAGCATTATCATCATTTCTATTTATTTTTAATTTTCATTCTGCTAAAACAAGACCCATAAAAGCCATATGGCAAAACAAAAACGGCCTCCAACATGCAGGAAAGGGTAAAAAACCTGTAGTGCAAGGAGCAGCTAGCAGTTGGAGAATGTTCTGGTTAAGAGCACTTGATGGTCACGCAGAGGACCCAGTTTCTGTTCCCAGCAACCACTACAGGTGGCTCACAACCACCTGAAAATGCAGCTCCAGGAGCTCTGGTGTCCTTTTTTGGACTCAGCAGACATTGCACACTTGTGGTACACTTATAGACAAGTAAGCATAGACACGTATACAGCAGTTTAGTGCGTATGTGAGGGTGTCAACTGGGTGTGGTGGTTCACGCCTTTAACCACACACTTAGGGGGCAAATCTCTCAGTTCAAGGCCAGCCTGGTTTACACAGTGAAGTCAAGTCAGCCAGGCCTACTTTGTGAGACACTGTCTCAAGACAATCAAAACAAAAAGGAGCCGAAGTCCTGCTGTGCTTTCACAAAGACACTCTACCATGTTACCTTTAAATGAATGGAAAACCAAAAAGATACGCTCCCAGGACATAGCTTCTGCAAACACAAGCCTCTCCTTCTCACAGTGCTCCCAAAAGAACACTAATTAGCATAATTCTCAGAAGGCTATAGGAGGTTTTTGGAACATGGATTAGCTTTTCTTCTGGGTTTGTATGTCATCTTCCAAAAGACTAAATACATGAGACTCTTACTAGAATGCTAATAAGTAAAATGTAGGAATATTTTTAATATATAATTTATTATCATGGGCTTGACTCTAAAACTGTAACCACAATTGGAAAGGTGGTTGACAAATGAAAGCAATCATGCAACTTTGATCCCTGAACATCAAGACAATGATATGGATCCAATGTTATTCAATAAGCAACTGCTGACTGTCTAGTAAAGACAAAATAAAAGCACTTTCATCAAATTCTGGATACTGTCACAGGAATTTAAACTTACTTCTACACTGACAAAGCCTCTTTGCTTCAGATCTCTTATGTGTTTCCAGAAGCATTAACTGTGATGATGCAACTCAAATGGCTCCAAGAAGCCTTACCTGGCGTGTTGTACAGATGCAGTAGTGTTTGTACTGACTGGTGCAGGGCAAGAGGCAGGTTGCCACTGGTTGCCCCGAGAGGTGGATGAACCAATGGTAATGGGTGAGGTAGCAGGAGATGAATTGCGATTGGCTGAAATGTAGGGACTTGTGGGGTCACTACTTTTACCAAATGAAGCACTGCAAAACAGCACACAGTCACTTTCTTCAGGACATGCTGCTCACCCACCGTTTCCCAACCCCACCTCCCACCCAGATGTGAAAGGAATGTAGGTCAAAGAGATGGCATGGCAACCAGGAAGTGGAGAGGTAACTCCAGCTAGAGCTGGGTCTCCAGCAGCAAGCAGGCAATCATCCAAGAGTGAAACAATCATCACTCTTTGAAGGATGATTTTTTTTTTGATCATTCATCCAAAAGAGTAAAGGAGGAGATGTGACATTCAACAAGGGAAAGCAAGAAAGTAGAATACATGACAAGAAACTACTATTAGAAGAAAAAAAAAAATCCCGGACAAACCCAAGGCCCCAAATCATGCATTATGACCACCTACATAATAGAGTAGTAATGCTGTGAAGCCAGAAGACCCAAGGATTGGGGGAGGACTTAGAAATGTAAAACAAAACAGTAAAGGAAAGAAAGGAGAGCTATGGGAGAAAAAATGGCTGCTGCAGTCATTTACCTTAAAGAGAAATGTCTTAGAGAGGAATCAAAGCTTTAAGTCTACAAAGTAATAGTGTGTGGGCACTGAAAGGCAAGTGTTATTGCTTCATCATTTTCAACTGAAGACGTAAGGACTATCTCAACTGCAGCGAAGCCTTACTGGGTTAGAAGTCTGTAAATGCTTTCTGATTGTAACAGAACTAGGGGCGATGACAGAAAGCTGTGAAACCTTCACTAGAAGAGCAGTGTTTTACTGGGCTGTATGAGACTTGTTCCTGGCTAAATACAAGAGATGATGTAGAAAATTCCAAGACAGAGGCTTGGCACAGCTGGGGGATGAGAGATTTTCTGCACTTTTTTTTTAAAAAATGGTGATGACATATAATTCTTTCTTCTTGGGAAGACTACAAGGCTTTATAAAATCACTCTAGGGTCACAGACAATGAGCGCTGGAAACACAAGGCACCAAGTGACTTGTAGATCTTTTCTCAAAAAAATGCTCATCTAATTAAGCACAATTTGCAGCCCTTTCATCTTCTGTTCACTGTAACTTTGCCCAATCAAAACAAAGCCATTAGAACTCATTTGCTGATAAATTTGGGTCATGAACATCAATAACCTCCCCACCCCACCCCAAATAACTCCACACTTGGAAACTAAATAGAAGCTTTCTTTCTTTCCCACCTCTAGAACATTATTCTCTTAGAAAAGTTTCTTCGATATTGGATTTGACTGTGAGTAAGAGTAATATATCTTGGTAATTCGAGGCCTTCCCCTTTAAGAGAAATGGGTGATACCCTCATAAAGCCCCAAACAACTGATTGGTATACTAGTCAGTGGGCTTGAATGTAACTCAGTTAGTGGTATGCTTGCCTACTATACAGGAGGCCTTGGGGTCAATTCCTAGCCCTATAAATGTGTGTAGTGACGTACACCTGTAAGCTCAGCACTCAGGAGGTAAGAGGCAGGTAGATCAAAATTTCAAGGTTACTTTCAACTACACAGTGAGCTCAAGGCCAACTGAGGCTACATGAGGCTCTGCCTATATAAATAAATAAATACATAAAATCAAATAACCATTGAGCTGTACTTGTACACTTCCAAAGTCAAGACCTTTCTTAGGATGTACCTGCAGAACTGAAGAATTAAAAGGCAGCCGTGCCTATTTCCATCATAGCTTATTTCCCATGTTCCAACATTAACTACCTGTCAAGAGCCTTCCCGATAGGTGAAATAGTTTTGATCACAAACAGCTAATCTGCTTTGATAGTCTTGGCCAAAGCCTGTTCTAAGATAGCCATTTAGAAAGCCTAATGACAAAGGCAGGAGGCGGCAGCTGGAAGGGTTAAGTGGAAGTGAAGAAAGAATTCAAAGTAAGCAATGAAAAACAGATTCTTCTACATCAGCAGCAAAATTCAAACCAAAATATTATTAAGTGCCTCTTGTAGCTTAATGGTTCTGGCAGAGGTGCTTTGCTTGCTGGCTAGCTTGTGGCAAAGAAAATAATTGCAGAAAAGAGAATACAGATGAGATCAAAGGAAACCCATGTACCTTCTCTGCACACCAAACTTGCGAGTTTCACATCTTGATGGATCTGAAGGCCATTAAAGTCATAAAAAAACAAAAACAACTCAAGTCCCTAAATTAACAGTCCCAACATGAAATTCTTAAATCCAACAGAAAACGGTTCCCATTTCCCACTCCTTACCACCCTATTGTGCCCCTCCCTCCTCCCACCCTAAAGTGTAACCTGTACTCTAGTTTTAGAAAAGGGAAAATCAAGATTAGGCAAGAGTGTATACATTCCATCTTCCCCAGAAATCACTAGATGCTACTTCAGACTGAAATTTTATTAGGGCCAAGAGGATGGAGTATAAAGTTGGGTTTGTAGTGAGGATTGGAATTGGCTTACTTTAATCCAGTTAATAAGAGAAAAATAATAATTTTAAATTAGTGAAAATGTTGATCCCAAAAATCTAAAAGCCATTCATTTTGTGGTGCTAATTGGATATAAAGAGCATGCAATCATTATCCATCCTCCCATGATAAGAGTGAAGAAAGAAGATTATCTCCCATCCCTCTGCAGCTGGTACCTTTTCAAATAAGTTGACACATAAGTGGAAGGAGCAATTGTCTGTGGCATTTCATTTCCCTTTGTTTCATCCCTCCACAGCTGCTTGGTGTGGGAGCCACTCCTCACTAGATTAACGGCTGATTCTCTGTAGAGGCAAGAAAGAAAAACCAACAAAGAATGATTCCTACCACCAATTTGGTCTACAAACAGAGAGAACAGCCAATTGAAAACTGTAACATGCTAAAGAAACAGGCACATGCTTCAAGCGATTCTGTTTCCTATATGTTTCTTATACTAGGGTTGGCTTTCTTCTATTAACATTAAACCCAACTCATTCCAACAGGTACCAAATTATACCTCACATCAAAAGTCCCTCATCCTTTTGTGATGAGGAGTCACTTTTTAACTCATTTAAAAAGTACCTTGCAATGATCTCCAGTGACAGGTTGCAAAAGAGCTAATGAGGTTACTACAGAGGGGAAAAGGAGGGGTGCTGCTAGGTGCCTCTTCAGCACTACAAATGAGAAGATATCTAGAAGGGGCTATAGTAGGTTTTATGAACTCACAATCAAAAAATTGGGGTCTTTGCTGTAGAGGCTGTAGGCCTACAGCAATCCTTCTTGGGCTTTAACGTTTATTTGAATCACTTAGGATATTCTGATTCTGACTCCACAGCTCCAACAGGCCTCCAAGTGATGCCTGATAGGAGCAGCATGCCTTAAGAAAAAAAGGGTCTAGATTAAGTTCTGCCTTGAAATGCAGGACATTAAATTTTACTTCCTTATAAATTAGGAGCTGATCATTTCAAGCAAACAATCTATTCAATTCTATTAATCTAGTCAATTACTATGTGGTATATAGTATGTATACAAGGCACAGCCGGTGGCTAGAGAAACAAAACAGCCTGCTAGGGCACTAAAACTAACTCATACTTGAAGGGTCAGAGTCCTACAGACAGTAACATCTAAACTGGAGTTACAATATAAAGGGTTAAAATAAATAAATAAATAAATAAATAAATAAATAAATAAATAAATAAAACCAGTAAAGACTGGGAAGCATTCTGAGCAGAAGGGACAGGCAATCCATAACATACTGACAACGCCTGTGGGACAAGGCAGAAGAGTAACAGCCAGATCCCTATGCCCAGAGGGGCTGAAAGACATCATCTTTTGGCATGTATTATGATTACCTGTTCTCCTTTTCTTCAATGTCACTTGTGCTGCTGAGCCTCCGGGGTACCAACGTGCTAAAATAGTTTTTGTTTTCTCTTTCCTATAAAAATAAAAATATGTAATACCCAAGAAATGTTCAATACTGACATGGCACAAAACATTTTTGGTAGAAAAGCAGGACTCTGCTAGGCATAGTGGTGCACTTGTAATTCCAGCCCTTGGGAAGCAAAAGCAGGAAGATTTTAAGTTCAGACCAGCCAGACCTACAACGGTGAAACTTTGCCTCAAATCTCAAGAAGTAGGAAAAGGTGGAACTTATGATAGTTACATATTCTCATATCTGGATTCATCCTTAATTCTATTTCAAGTGGTATTACTCAAGACTAGCTATTAAAAACTTACATTTACCTTTCCTTCATAAAAACCCTGTCTGGAGGGAAACGATTCTCAAGAGAAAGTCAGGATGATCCATTGAAGGACACAGCACAACATCTACAAAGGGCAGCACGGAGGGAGTGAGAAGGGGTCTGGGAAGGCACAAGCAGCTCCACGGGACTGACACTCTGCATACATCAGTCTCATTTGTTCTCCAGCTATTTTTTCCCTGAAACGTGACTTCCTTAGGGACACACAGAACAGATACACTGCAGCTCATCCCTTCAAGGTGTCACCAGAAAAACAAACAGTAAGAGGACTATGACTACAAGGAAGACCCCAGAGAAAAACACAGTGTGAATCAAGTAAAATCTAGAAACAAATTCTTCTTTGATGAATACAATGGTGAACTTCTTTTGAAGTCAGCCTAATCATGTATTTATATAAATGAGAAACAATAGGTTAAAAATTTTCTTGCAGGCAGGGTATGATAGCATACACCGAAATACTAGCACTCGGAAGGCTGAGGCTACATAGCAGGTTCCAGGTCATCCTGTTCTAATTTTTAACAAAGAAACAATAAACCAGTAAGTGCAAACGTGCCCAGTTTCATTAAGGTTCAAAGTTCAACTATGCTTGCAAACATCAAAAGAGTAAGTTTTCCTGATACTGACTCAGAAGACCCATTTGGGCTATGTTCAACTTGGAGTCATTATTTTGCTCTAGGTAAAGTAAGAAAGAATGAACATAAAATAAGTCAAAAGGAAAAAACTATTTTTAGGACTTTCTTTTTTGACCAAGAAAAATACTAGCAAATAAATAACTACTTGATGAAACTACTGAAGTTACAAGGCCAACTCATTTCAACAGACACCAAATGCCTTATACCAAAGTCCCCATCCTTTGGCAACAAGGAATTACTTCTATCCTCCACCTTAAAAACATCTTCACATGGGGATGGAGAGATGGCTCAGTGGTTAAGAGCATTGCCTGCTATTCCAAAGGTCCTGAGTTCAATTCCCAGCAACCACATGGTGGCTCACAACCATCTGAAATGAGATCTGATGCTCTCTTCTGGCATGCAGGCAGATACACAGACAGAATATTGTATACATAATAAATAAATAAGTAAATATTTAAAAACAAACAAACAAACAAAAATCTTCACATTCTCCATACTTCCATAGTTAACCTGGGGACTAGAAAACACTCCCATGTTGTCATGACTGCATTTCCACTGAACACTGCCTTGGAATGCCCTGCATACCCCTCCCCTCTCGACTGCACCTTATCTTTGTCATCCAGCAAAGCTGAGATCCGAGGGCTTGATGAGGAACGGTAGATGGAAGAACCTCGATCCCTAAAGGCTTCCCTGGAGTTGGCCACTTCACTCAGCATATTGTGACTGCCAGTTTTTCTGAGTCCCAGTCTCCATGAAGAAGGAGATTCGTCTTTGGGCTCTTCTGTCTTGTGGAAAAGACTGGACAACTGTAAGGAAAGGAAGGAAGGGGGAAGTCCTGATGATCTATTCTGCTTTGTCCTATTTCATTTTCCCCACTTAATGAAGTTCAATGGAACAGTCTAGGAACGTACTAGAAGAACTAGTGGCTTCCTGCCACTGTGCCCACTCACTTGGCAGATGCTAGATGCTCCCAAAGGCTCTTTCTTCAGAAGCCAGCAGTGAATTCCAATTCTTAGTGCTCCTACCCACAAACCTGCTCTGGGCAGGGAAGCCCCTTTGCTGTCTTTGTGAACCAGCATGGTCCTGACGCACCAGGGGACTGTGCTCTGGTGATTCATTTTCTTTTGACTTGCTGGGTACCTGAAAATAAGCTACCTTTCCCCTCTATATCTCAATGCGCTTATCTTTAAAATTATGGTAATGAACTTAATTTTTCCCTCTGATACAGTCTGAAGAAACAGGGGGAGCTAATAAATAAATATGTGGATGCAGTGTTCTTCCATGAGATAAGTTAATTATTTCCTTTAACTGAAAATAGATTTTTTTTCTCACATAATATAACCTGATTACAATTTCCCTTCCCTCCACTTCTTGCAGTTCCTCCCAATCTCCTCTCCCATCTGGATCCCCTCCCATTTTATCTGTCATTAGTAAAGGGATGATAATGAAATAAAATATAATAAAACAAAAACATCAGAATTGGACAAAATAAACAGAAGGAAAAGAACCCAAGAGAAGGCACAAGAAACAGAGACCCACTCATTTGCATACTTAGGAATCTCATAAAAACACTGAACTGGAAAAATATATACAAATGACCTGGTTTAGACCAGGGCAGGCCCTGTGCATGCCGCCTCAGTCTCTGTGAGTTCATCTGAGCTTTGTTCATGTTGATATAGAGAACTTGTCTCCTTGTTGTCCTCCACACTCTCTGGCTCCAACACTTTTTCTGCCTCCTCTTCCACAGGGTTTCCTGAACCCTGAGAGGAAGGATTTGATGGAGAGATCTCATTTCAGGTTGAGTACACCAAGGTCTCTCATGTGATAAGTTAATTTTAAGTTGTACGAATGTCAACTCCTCAAAAAAATCTAACTATAATATTAAGGGAATAATCTATTTTATATTAAGCAGCAATTTCAAAAAGTTTTGACATTTTACTGAGTAAGAAATTTTAAAATATAAAATTTTTAGAGGTCTGAAGGTCACCATCTTTCTTATTCTGCTTTCAAAGAAATCAATACCACACCATCACCACAACTGCATGGTGACACATGCCTGTAATTCCAGCATTTAGGAAGTAGAGGTAGGTAGATCAAGGTCTCATTCAGCTACACAGTAAGTTTGAGGCCAGCATGGCCTTTGGTGACATAAGACTTGACTTAAAACCTCAAGAAAGGAAAAGAAAGATTGCAGCAGGCTACAGCTCAGGGATGTTACACTTTTTGAGCCTGTCCAGGACGCTAGGTCTAGTGTTAGCACTAAAGACAAACAGGAGCACTTCGTGGACAATTTTACATTGTCATTGTATAAAGGAGGGAAGCAGGCTGCAGATATGGTTCAGTGGTACAGTGCTTGCTTAACACATACAAGCATAAACATACAAGGCTCAGTTCCTAGTGCAGAGAAACAAATAAATCAGGGAAACATCTCAGGCTAGCATTAGTACAGAAACCACATTAGGATCTTTAGGGTATAACTGGTCCTTCAGATGCCAGGCAACAGTCCCTTTCCTACAGTCTAGAGACCTTTATTTAAAAAAAAAATCTTCTTTCTTCCAAAACCAGGCCATTTTTGTAGGTTAGTAGAGTAAAAGTCACTCATCTCCATCCACCTTCCACTAAGATTTTCTTTTGACATCAACCGTCTAAATATAGGCATTTATGAGTGCCTTCATTTTTATACGCCACTGTGACTGTAAAGGGAATTTTTCTTCATTTCCCAGTATTACTTTAGCATGGAGGTAGTACGTGTACCTGCGCTTCTTTAGTAAGTATTGTTCTTTTATAAAAGGTAGGAAGTGTAGTCACACCTAGAAATATTTGAGTACCTGAGGTGCAAGTAAACTACTGGATAATGAGCAAGGATGGCACTCTATGCAAAGTTTGATTAATGATTCAAAATGATGTCTCTAAAAATAAATGAGGCTTGGCTAGACTTCGTTTCCTTTCCCCTATGGCCAATTAAAAGCTCTAAGGCCAGAGTTTCAGACCAGCTGTCTCTCTGCCGGAAGCCTACAGCTTTGGAGAGGCCTCCACACAGTTGTTGCAGCAGTGCTCCTGGAACTTCAGCAAGTCCTTCTCCCACCCTTGCCCACCATATAAGGCAACAACCTAACACGTGAGACTAAACTTTTCATGTTTGATTGCCATCAAAACATTTCTGGATGCTACCTGCCTTCCCACCGGTCTACTTTTTATACAGCTGTCTTCAATTTTAATATGAAAAAGAAACAGTTAAAACACAGAATCTTTTTGGTCTCAGGATACTTTCATCCTGTTATTGTAACAGTAACACATTTGTAGTCATATTTATTTGGCATTTGTTTTTCAAAGACTTGGGGGCCATTGTTGTGGACAGGATTTTGTGTCCCTCTAAAACTCATACTAGATACTAAAAACAGCCAATACAACTGCATCTGGACACTGGGCCTCTGAGGAAGTGACAAAGATAGAATGTGGTCAATAGCACAGGGCTGATCACCTTCTAGGAGAGAGACAACAGTGTTCTTTCCACATGCTAATATACAGCAAGAAGGAGGCATCATCAAACCAGAAGACGGCCCTCATGAGCAATTAGACTGGCTAGCACATTGTTCTGGTGACTCTCCAGCCTCCAGAACTGTAAGAAGCAAAGTTCTATTTTTTTAAGTTACAGTTTATGGTATTTTGGTGTAAGAGTCTAAAAGAGGCAAGAATATACTATTTTGCAAGAATGCATCTTTGAGGCCTTTGTGTTACTGTAGTAGAGTGAAATATAATCTCACATCAATTCCAAAGTACTCACTCTCCTAGCAGAAGAGGCAGAGTAGGTGTTCTGAGCTGGGGTTGGGGTCTGCTCCATGATACGACTCTTGCTTTCAGAGTTGGAATGGTTGACAGTGGCTTCTGGCTTCTTATCTGTTATTTAAGACAAGAGAAGCAATAAATATAAATATGAAAATCTTATCCTTGTGTGTATAAATCCCTTTCTACTAAGAAAAAAATGTTTTGCCAAATCAAAGAAGATTATTAGAACCATGGGATGTCTGAACTCACACTAGGACAAACTCTAGCAAGTGTGGGTAGAAGAAATTAAACTCAAGGATATCCTTATCTTGGTAGGCTCCAACTTCTGATAAAAAAAAAGTCTGTACAGTAGAGTGTGTGTGTGTGCATGTGTGTATTTATACTGTATGTAAAATTTATCATTATAAAGAATCTGTTCAGTTATGTAGGGAAGTTGGCTAGGAAATGTAAACACAAAATACATAAGATAGCCTTTGCTTTCGAGGTAATCACAACAAAAAATAAGACACATTAGATTAAAAACACAGAATCTTATGGTTGATTCAGATTGATAGGTACTGTAGATTTTAAAGAAGGGCAGAGTCTCTGAGAAAGGAAATAAGTTCCAGAGAAAGTTGAAAGAGAGACTGATGGATAGGTGGAGGAGGAACGATGTCTCCGTGAACATAATCACACATCTGTTGGTCAGTCAGTGACTGGCCTAACTTAAGTAAGTTTCAGAACTTTAGTAACTGGACTCACAAGAGTGACTCATTCCAGCGGAGTCATCAATCAGAAAGCTTGTCTGCTATATAGCAATTAATAACTAGCACAGAGCTTGAAACTAATGGCTACAATTCTGGAATTTATACTCTGAGAACAGATCCAGAGTAAGTTTCATGGGTCCTGTGGTAATTATAAGCTACACCTAATTGTGTGATACTAAGTTACATATTATATTTGAACCTCTACTTTCCAATTAACAAGAGATTTTTAAAAATTATTTATATTTTTTATATATGAGTGCTTTGCATGTATACCCGCATGCCAGAAGGGGACATAAGATCCTATAATAGATGGATGTGAGCCACCACATACACTGGGAATTGAACTAACTGAACTCAGAACCTCTGGAAGAGAAGCTAGTCTTTCTTTCTTTTCTTTCTTTCTTTCTTTCTTTCTTCCTTCCTTCCTTCCTTCCTTCCTTCCTTCCTTCCTTCCTTCCTTTCTTTCTTTCGTTTTTTGTTGTTGTTGTTGTTGTTGTTGTTGCTTGTTTGTTTGTTTTTTTGTTTTCCAAGACAGAGTTTCTCTGTGTATCAACCCTGGTTGTCCTGAAACTCACTTTGTAGACCAGGCTGGCCTTGAACTCACAGAGATTAACCTGCCTCTGCCTCCCTCCCGAGTGCTGGGATTAAAGGCATGCACCACCACCTGGCACAGTCAGTGCTCTTAACCACTCAGTCATCTCTCCAGCCCTTAACCAGAGATTTTAATTTCTGCATTAAGAAAATTTTTATTTTTTTAAACTTTTATATTTAATTTTGTTTTATATGCATTGGTGTTTTGCCTGTATGTATGTCTGTGTGAGAGTGGAATCGATCTTACAAACAGTTGTGAGCTGCCATGTGGATGCTGAGAATTGAACCTGGGTCCTATGGAAGGGCAGTTAATGCTCTTAACCACTGAGTCAACTCTCCAGCCCCTAAGAGAATTTTTATAAAGATTAGAATTAGTACTTTTAAACTGCATATCTCATTGATTATAGTAAAGCCTCTTTATGCTTTTAGTGTTATCACTTCATAGGTATTAAAATGATAAAGACATCTTTAAGTAATAAATATATCTAGACTCCAAGAAATCTAGCTTATGAGCCAAACGAAATAGATGCTACAGTACTGGTTGCCAATGCATCATGACTCCTTAAACCTACAGCCTCATGTAGTGCCCTTTTCACACTAACTGAAACTTGATCAGTTGCTTGCTATGGCCTCTGAAACATCAGCAATCGAGACACTCAGCCTTGCTCTCTTAATGAATCTCAGAATCCAGCTGCCACAGGAAGAAACGGGGCAAACCTGCTAGATGAGAGGAGATCACTTGTCCTAACCATCACAGCCAACTACCAAAAGCATGAGCAATGACACTGAGGACCAGCTATCCTACCATGTCTTACTAGTTGACGATACAAACATAAATAAGCACACCACTACCTTAAGACAGAGTCAAGCTATTTACCCGCTTCCTTCCCCAATTGCCAAGCCATAGAATAGCATTCACATAAAGAGCCTTTGCTGTAATATGAAAAGGCCAGGCCTGCTTGTTTGTGTTTTCTGTCCTGCCCGGCCCCCAGCTGTTTAGCCCCAAAGAAAATGACACAGAGGACTCCGTAAATTATAATGCTGATTGGCCCATTAGGTCAGGCTTCTTACTGGCTAACTCTCACATCCTGATTAACCCTTTTTTATGATCTATGTTAGCCATGTGGCTCAGTACCTTTTTCAGTGAGACAGCTCACATCCTGCTGCTTTCGGTGGTCTGGGCAGGAGTGGGAGGAATCAACTTCCTCCTCCCCAGTGCTGGGATTAAAGGTGTGTACCACCACACCCAACTATTCTCTTTCTTTCTTTTTTATTTTAAGGCTTTAAACATTTTTTTCAAGCCTGCATATATTTTTAGCTAAAGGCCATTGTTTAACCCATATTGGCTTTTCAGTTAGCCACTTTAAAGGTAGGGCTGTAGGTACCTCTAAAGGTTTGTTAGTTGTTTTATGTTCTTGTACAGCCTGAATGGCTGGTGACCTTTGTACATAGTATTTTATTACATCCTGACAGAAAACCCCAACAAGCCGGCCCCAATCATGTTACAGAATGGCGCCCACGTGGATAACAGCATCCACAAAAAGCCTGAGAAAGCTTGGGAAAGACTAAAGCATTTCAGTTTTCAGCTGAAGCAGGAAAAAAGCTGTGCTGTTTTAAAATGTCGGCTTTCTGGGCCGTCCTGCCAGCGAAAACTCTGACTCTTTCAAGCAGGCAGTCCTGACTATGGAAACACTGTTGCAGCTTGCTTCCTGGCAAGGACCTTGAAACGCCTTAAGAGCTTTTGACTGTTGTTTTCTCCATATACTTTAGCAAATTAAAGACCCATGTGGTCAGAAAAAGAGAGATATACAGTAAAGAGAGATTCAAAGAGTAAGAAAACCTCTAAATGGTTTACATTGTGTTAAAAAAATATATACAGGCTAAAGGTTAAAGTTCTCAGAGTAAATAAAAAAAAAAAAGAAAGAAAGAGTAGCCTGGGAGGCAGAGACAGACAGATCTCTGGGAGTTCAAAGATAGCCTGGTCTACAGAGGGAGTTCCAGGACAAAGATATGCAGAGAACCTGTCTCAAAAAGCCAAAAGTTAAAAGTAAAAATAAAAGAAATAGAGGTTAAAATAAAGCCATGTAAAGATGGAAAATACACAGAGAATCTTGATACTGTATGCTATTATGCTCTCTTTGAATTGTTTAAATGCTGAGGAAGGAGCAACAGCTGCTAAAAGATATTTGCTTATAAATGCTGCAGAATCAATCCAAGAAAGGTATTTTGAAAATACCTTGGCTTCAAAATTGAAGTCAAAAGGTATGTTACTTTGGAGAAGAAATTTTGCTTTTGTTTCCACAGAAAACGAGAGACTCTGGATTTATTCAGAGTTAAGAAAAATCACCTTTGATCAAGGAAGGTCACCTGAAAAATCTCTGGTAGGAACAGATGGCCCAGATGTCTGAGTTCTTCATCCAGAACAGGTTCAAGACTAATGCCTGAGATGATCAAGACTCACAGGATACTTCAGTCAGGACTGGATCATAACTCTAAATTTCCTTTAGGTCCCCATAAGATTATCAGCACCCCCAACCAGCTGGAAGTAGCCTGGAATACTACGCCCACATTTCCAAAAAAATGGACTATGGATATTTTCCTTTGTTTTTTTTTTGTTTTTTTTTTTTTAAAAAAAGAGGGGGAAATGGTGCGGGAGAATTGTCTGTATTCTGTCAATCATGTTTTAAATAAATGCTGATTGGCGAGGCAGGAGGTGTAGGTGGGAAAACCAGACAGGAAGTGGAAATGACGTAAGGAGAGCAGGTGAATTCTGGAGAGGAAGAAGTCGATTCCTCCCACTCCTGCCCAGATCACCAAAGCAGCAGGATGTGAGCTGCCCCACTGAAAAAGGTACTGAGCCACATGGCTAACATAGATCATAAAAATGGATTAATCAAGATGTGAGAGTTAGCCAGTAAGAAGCCTGAGCTAATGGGCCAATCAGCATTATAACTTATAGAGATCTCGTGTGTGACTTTTCTGTGGGACTAAACAGCTAGGGGGCCGGGCAGGACAGAAAACACAAACAAGCAGGCCCCATCATGTTACACTTTGTTTTTTTAGCTCCTTCCCTCCCCTACCCACACCAAGACAGTCTTATGTAACTCGGTAAGATGTCAAATTGGCTGTGTAGCTGAGGGTGACCTTAAGCTTCTGATCCTCCTGCTTTTATCTTCCAATTGCTGAAATTACAGGAGTGTGCAGAAGGTCAGGTTTTATGCAGTGCTGGGGATCTAACCCAGGGCCTTGTACAACTGAGGCAAGCACTCTACCAACTGAGCCATACGCTAGCTCAAGAGTTACTATTTTCAGACATTAAGTTTGGAAGTAGTTTATTATGAAGAAATATAGGATTGATGTACAAAATTCTTAAGTCAGACAAAAAAGAGAAAATAGAAATTCTAATAAAAATGTTTATATTAATCTCAAAATATAACATATTTTTAATATATTATCACTGTATAAGATACACGAAAACTATAATTTTTATGAGGTTGCATCTATGGATCTTTAAAAATGGGAGAAATGCATCAAATAGACATTTGTTCATTGTCTGCTCGTGTGATAAGCAACATCTGGAAAGGCCTAGGTAAAACCCATTTCCATGGGCTCTACCAGCACATTTAATGAGAACCCACACATGGAAAGCCACAAGGCACACAGAAGATGGAGAAAACACGTAAGAATATTCAAATGCACCCAAAGCTTGTCTATGAGAACAGCAGAGAGGGTGAGAAGAAAACCAGAAGTAGTTCAGATATTAAATAGCATGAG